GAAAAGCTTGAGGATGCATGCACGGCAACAAAGACATCGTACAACACCTCAGGCTATGATCGTCATGCACTCAAAAAGAAGAGTCATGCCGAACAGCAGGAAAAATTTCAAAAGTAAAAGTTTTCACTAATTATTCGTTCAAACGAAATTTGCTTTTGGAAATAAAGGTTTCATCCTTGTTAGAGGAGTTCGACCGGCATGTACCTTGCCAACGAGGTTCTTGCCCAGCATCAAGGAAGTGAAAGGGTGGCCCGGGGCGACCCGACGCACATACTCGCACAAGAGTCTGCTCACACTGGGGTGCGATGACGTATTGGAACGCAGGCCCACCCTGTTGGCATGAAAGAAAGCTCCGCACGACCAAGAGAATTCGTCAGTGCCTCGCCCACCCCTCGACGGAGGGTCCGATATGAGTAAATCACACAGGTGGCAAATACAGTCACGCCATGCTTCGTCACTGGCTGACACTCCCAAGTGAAGAGCATAATGCGAGAAAGCTTCGGGATCCATCTGGTCGGCCTCCGGGGTGGCCAAGTTTTCACTGTCCTCCGACTCAGCGTTCGGGACAGCTGTGGGATCCGGCACAGATCTCTGCGCTCCAGCCGGTACAACCCCAATGACACTCTGGCGCAGGATCCGAGTGCCCGCGGGAAGCATCGGCAGTGGGGGCGAACATGAGACTCCTGGCGGAAGGGGGGTATCATCTTCCAGCTTACGCACGCCCGGGAAGAGGGGTTCGGGGCTTAAGAGAACCACTATCTGCCGAAATTCGGGCACAAGAGGTGGCACACGCTTGCCGCGGGGTTGCACACCTGCGGCGACCTGAGATTCACGTAGGGGAAGGGAGGCACCAGGCGCAAGGCATGAAGCAGGTGCAGTGTGGCCACGCTCGGCGGCAGCGCGGACAATGATGTCTGCCATGCGTTGGCAGAGCACAAGAGGGTATACCTTCTCGGCTGCTGTGTCGAAGGCACCTGAAGATCGCGACCAGGGCAGGTGGCGATGAGACTTGGATTCCCCGGGGCAGAGAAGTGACAGCTCGTGCAGCAAAGGGACATTGTGGGCTAGGCGGGTGAGTTTGGCACGCTCTCCGCCGTGCTGGCAGTTATGAAAGAGGGTTTCCTCAAAATGCAGACCGGCAACGGCAGTGAGCCACATGGTCGTCTGCCAGAAGTAAGAGCGGCCTGGATTTTCGCAAGAAACGAGCTTCCCGGTACGGAGGCAGTGTGCAAAGATCCTGCCAGTGACCGCATAAAGACTGTTGGCCTTTGCAACGCGAACGCTGAGTTCGCCAGTGAGCTCTGGCAGCCCGTCTGGATGGGCGTCACTTCTTGCTGGAGCAGGCAGGTTCTCGCCGCGACGGAAAATTTCCCGAGCTCGGCTCGCTGTGCCACATGGGGGTGCGATGTGGACATAAAGGCAAAATGGAGAATCAATCAGATCAAGAACCATCTGTACATGTTCGGGATCAAGGAGGTCCAGCTTAAGGACGGGAGAAATCATGTGTTTCGGGGCAACATGGTCAACTCCGATGCTATCTCGGAACCCCGCACGACGGAGTTCAGCAGTGAGCCTGCCTGAGCCTGAGAAAATTTCAATGCAAAAGAAAGAATCAATCCTGAAAGCATCAGCACCGCACAGAGAGTGCCCGGCATCAAGCAGTGGCCCTTCCATAGGGCTCGCGGCCTCAGCAGGAGGCGAAGGAAAACATGGTGTGTCGCTGGGTGCGGCGTCAGATGCTTGCGGGGCTGAGGCGCTCGGTGAAGCGTCCAATGCAACACTGGGCGGTGGATTAGGAAAATTTTGTGTTGCCACGCTGTTCGGCTCAGGCAGGCATGCACTTCATGGCTTCTTCGGACACGCATGCGCAGGGTGATGACCGCCACAACGCATGCAGTTGTGAAGGCCCCTGGGGCAGGATTGGCCGACCTTGGCATTCGGGCATCCACTAGCCATGTTGAAACCCCAGCAGCGGCGCATTGCCGGTTTTGGTCCAGGACGACAGGCCCTTGAGTTCCTCTGGGAGATTGCTGGGCTCACGCAAAGTCTTGGTCTTGCCCTTACCAGCACCTTTGCGTTGCTTCTTGGTCGGGGTGTCTGAGGGCTCAGGCTTTGACTCGTCGTAATCCCGTTTGAGGGGACCACCTTCACGCGGGAGGAGGTGAAAAATGACCTTCGGGTCGGTCTCCAAGCGAGCCCACAAACTATCAAGTGGCAGAGCCCCGGCTGCATCACGACGAATCCCATCGGGAGTGAGCTCTGCCAAGCGCATCCAGGCAGCTCGATCCGCATGCAGGATCTGTTGCACGGAAGTGGCACGGCTACCAGCAATGGGCTCCTGATGAAGGTGGCCTAAAAGGAAATCGACGAAACCCTGAACCCGAAAGTAGTCGGTTACGCCGATCAAGTCAAGAGCAAGGCTTCGACGGTGCATGGCATGATGAAGGCTTAGTGCTGTTGAAGTATCGCATGACTGATCGGGATCACGATCCCTCACGACCAGTGTTGAAGCTTGCACGTCCAGCTCCTTCCTCGGTTTCTCGGAGCGTAGTTCCGCTTCTCGAGTGACGAACTTGGCCGGTGAAAGATAGCTGATGCAATTATCGGTAAGGAGCTTCATGCAGAGGTCATACGAGGCATAACTGCACTCACGACTCACTCTGGCCGGCCATGGTGATGCCTGTGAGTTTGCGAGCCTGCGCCCGGATGCGCTTGCGGCGCTCTGCGGGGGCTAGTTCTTTGACCTCGTTCTCCTTGTTCTCTACGAGTGCTTTGGTCTGGCTGACTAGTAGGGTCTGTGCTTCGAACACCAAGTGTCGAACCGCAGCGATGGATCCCAGCGGTGGGGCTGCACCGCCCACCTTGATGAGGGCCGCCAGCGACTCCTCGGTCGGCGTCTCCCCCGGCTGGCAAGGGGCAAACGCTAGCTTCGCCATCGTGTCGATGGCCTGTGCAACGAGGCGATCCACTGCATCTTGAGGGAGGCCCACACGCCTGGCCCGCTCCAGGAAGACAGCCTTAGACTCCACAAGGGTTTGCGCCATGGTCTCCGATCCTATGTGCCCTCCCTGAAACTGGTCTTGAGACGGCAAAGATCAAACGTGCACACAGTCCTTGCAAGCTTGACATGTGGACAAAGCTCCGCAAGTTGTCATCGCATCGCCGAGCTTGGTCCACCCGCCGGACCCCGTGGCAGCCACGAGGTAAACCAAGGGTTTCACCGTTTCACCGAAACCCTTGTTTGCCCGACGAGTCTCAGAACCTCGCTCCGGTTCGGTGCGCAATTGACCACTCGACCAACAGACATGACTGTGAAGCTCGGCGATACACTGATGCGGTGATCCGCAAGCATCGCACGTCACACGATATTTCTCACTTAGAAGCGCCCTGCTTCTTAGCGATGAAACTCGCCATGGCCCCTGCATCGCGGAGGGGTCGGCCTGCTGTGCACTGCTTGCACAGCCATCTACTGCTGAAGACCTTCCCACTGAAAGGCTTCATATTGTCAAGTGACCTTCCACAGATCAACTTGCCAGTGGAACCCTTCGCTCGCGAGTGAAGGCTCTTGGTCTTCGGGTTCTGAAAAATGTCTAAATCAGGACCCATGTTCACAGACGGGATCGCATTCTGCGCCTCGCCTGCACCAAAACTTTCATAATGAGTCTCCTCCTCGGACTCACCAGAACTCTCGGACTCGCTGCCCGAGGCTTCGTGAACATCTCCTTGTTCACCCAGGTCCAGATCATCGGGAGGCCATTCGCCCCCATCCTCGGCCAGCTCAGCTTCGGGAGCACACTCGAAGCTCTCGTGAGAAGGCGAAAGATTGGCACGGCCCATCGGTGCCAAAGTGAAGCGCGACTCGCGGACGGCAGCTCCAGGTGCGATCATCCCGCTCTTCGTGCGATCCGGGTGGAACACCCCCTGACGGATGGCACCAAGGCATTCTGCAAGATCTCGTAGCGGCTGCGCCTGCACTTCGCGGGCGTACGCCTCTTGTGTCTTTCCATTGGGGCCTAAGCTGTGGTGCCCTAGGACAAGCTGTGTCCTCTCACCGTACCCTGCTTTTGAGGTCCAGGAAAGCGGCGTTGCCTTCAAGCCGTGCGAGGAGAATGTAAGATCTTCCTCGACCGCTTGCAGCCGAGAAAGCAATGCCCTGATCCACGCCGTGGTCTCGTTGGCATCGATGGCGTCCCCGCTCCAAGAGTAATCGCAAGCCAGTCGGGGGAGCAACGGTCCGCGATGCCCTTTCTCGAAGTCGAAGCCAACGGCCTTCGCTGCCTCCACCCAAGCAGCGCCCCAAGGCTTCTGGTGGAGCCCGTGATATGGCGCAACCAAAATGAGCACAGCCCCCGGCCCACTGCTTAGCCGGCAATTCTTGTGCTCATAGGTTCTGACTTCAATGAAACCCGCGTCACCATCAAGGTCGAGCTCAAGCTTCGAAATGTTCCTCAGATCCGAAACTCGAGCCCTGGAGTAAAGCTGGAACAAGAAGACCCCGATGGCGTATCTGTCCACCTTGTCAAGGGTGTCGCCTATCAGCGCCTCCTCGAGGAGAAGCACTTCTTCGACCTTCAAGACTCTCGATCGCTTCGGGTCGCAGGTACGAATGTTTGCTCCCCGCAACGCTCCCTTGACCCAAGCGTTGTCACCAATTCCTTGCTCGACCTCGATTCCTAGAACATGTTCGAGGAAATTAACGGTCTCCATAGCCTCACGAATGGCACTGTTCCTGGCATCAGCTGCAAGTGGTTTGAGGAAGCTCACAAGAAACTCGAGGCTCAGCGGGAAAGCTTTCACACTATGTTTGTCGGCCCAGCAGATGAACCGTGCAGAAAAGCGGGCTCGCTTAAGCAAAGTGGATGTAGCTTTCCCCGCCAAGGCCTGCGCCACGACACCCAGGGGGTCAGATTCGCCTTTTGCCCATATTAGAACCCCTAACCTCGAGGCACCGGGTGCGTGGCTCAGAACACAGAGCCACCGTCGTAGGACATTTTCTCGATCGACTCCGGCCTTCTCGCCTGCTAGCAGCCTGGGCTTCTTAAGCACATTCTCAAAGACGGGTACGACCTTGGCACGCGGCAGAGCCGTCGGCAGCGGCTCGACTGAATCACCTGGCCGCCTGTTCTGCACGGCCGGCGGCGGCACCACCCTAGGCACCTTGACACTATGAAGGTCAACGCTCCTGCCCGGTTTCCCTGAGAAGATGGCAGACAAAGCTTTATTCTTGTCCCAGGGATAGCTGATCGGGGCCACGACATCATAGGTCAAGTGCTGGAAATGCCGCTCGAAACGATCACAGAGGTCGGAAGCCGAAGCTTCAGCAGCCATCTAAGAAACCCCACGAGAAAGGGCCCTGAAGCTAGGTAACTGAAGGCGGCTTCCCTGAAGCACTGGCGGCAACTGCAGCACTAGGGAAGAACAGAGCACCAGCCGCAGCACTGCAGCAGCCTACCCCACAGAGTAGGATGCAAGACCTGAGCCTCCAACTGACTCAAGCGAGATTCCAGGGCACGCTGGCCCCTTTCCAAGTCAGTGATGCGATCGCAAGCAATGGTGAGGGTACCGCTCTCACTGAGATCACTAGACTCAGAAGGCGGAGGCTCAGGCTGATGAGGCACGGGCACAGTCCTGTCCATCTAGCACCCCCGGCGGGGGTACTGTGCACGAAGCTAAAGCCTTGTTTTTAGCACCTAGAGGCTATTAGCAAGCGCGCTACAGGACTCTAGAGGCCTCAGACAAAAATTTTTCCGACTTGATTCGGAAAAGCTGCAAGTTGCCATCATCATAACATGTTGAAGCGATGTTGTCGCAACAAGCATGCGTGAAAGTGTTGGTTTCAAAACACAGGTTGCAAGAGAAGAGGGGAAACAAAAGGAAAAACTCCCGTTTTTCCTTTCAAACAAAATTTGGAAATAAAACCCTGTCAATCACGATTGAAGGGTGGCATGCCGTAAAACGTACAGAAGGCCTTCCGAAAGTGTCGGCAGCGAAATGCCCAAACCTGGGCCAGTCTGAGATGCATTGTGAAAGTGGATGAAACCCATGAGAGGTGTCAAGCCGCCAGCGTGATTCCTTCCCAATGTGCCTCCGAGTATCGAGAACGTGCTCATTGCGAACTCCAGCATGGCTCATGTTGGAGTCTTTGTTGCGACACTGGGCTTTCTTTGCTAAGGCTGGGCACCAAGGCTGCCCATCCGGTGCTCCCATGGCATGACCTCCGGCGGGCTGCATGCAGAGCACGGCATGCGCAGCTGCTTTGGACGTGCAGAATGCGGCAGCCCAATAGGGAGCCGGCGCACAACTTCAGGGGCAGCGTCGGTGGACGACAGGCCTTGGATTGAGACAACCGGCAATTGCAGTCCCCCCCCAAAGATCATCAAAGATCCCAAACAATTGAGGATCCAAACTGGGCCCGCCTCACACAGCTTCTGAATCTTGTTGATCATGTGCGTCATGATACCAACCTGCTGCAGGGGGCTGCACAACACCTCCGTGGATGGTAAAATGCTCACCGGGGATCTAGATTGGCTTCGACAAAGATCGGCTCCCTACAGTGGAAAAAGCTTCCTGCTTCGTTGCTCGGTATCAGCACGCTGCGGTGCTGTCCCATTCCCGATGACCGAGCGTGCGAAATGGAGTTTTGCCGACTGCATCTCAGTCCTAGGCAGCACCATGCAGAACGATGCAAACGTGACATGCCACGTCTGAAGGTCCGTACTGTGCACTGCGTCTTCTTGATCTTCTTCCGCTTGATCTACTTAGATTGCGGCCAGTTCCTGCGCGGATCCATCGTCCGTCTCTTGTAAGCTTGCTGGTGTGTGTGCTTGTGCTTCTTTGATGATGTATAGGATGAAGTGCGTCCACGGCCACGCGGAAGCAACGCATTCCTGATGCCCCTCCATTAATGCAGCCTATGGCAGCATGGGACGAGCGAGCGACGAAGACAAACAAAATCAATGAGGATCGACAAGCAGCAAAGTATATCAGACCGCAACACTGAAAATGGCTTCGAAAATCTAAGTCCAAAAGCCGTCATAACCCTAGTATGATTAACGGTACACAGACTGGCTAGTCATGGCAACATTAACGGCAAGTGTCATAGTCACAGTCACAGTCCGAGTCGAAGCAATATTACTAATAATCATAGCATTGATGCTAATAATGATAGCAATTTAATGATTTCAATAGTGCTGCTTGGGGTAGTAGTAGGAGCAGCAGCTGCAGCACCGGATAGTAATCAAGTAGTTGTCGTCGTCGTCTTCTTCGTCGTCGCCATCACCGTCCTCGTCGTCGCGGTCGTGGTTGCGGACGTGGTAGGGTCAGTAATGTCGCGGTAGCCGTAGTCATCGTCGCCGTCGTTTACTTCGCTATTTCTGTCTTTGTTCGTTCTTTCGTTCTTTCTCTCTTTGTTGCCTTCTTCATTTCTGTCTTCTCTGTATTCATGCCTTTCTTGCCTGTCTTGGCTATCTGCCCGGCCCATCCCCTCTCTCCCTCTCCATTTCTGTCGTGATGCTACGATTAATCGGGGATCATTGGTTTGAGGGTGTTGGTGTTTGTTGTATAGCAAATAGAACTCTGGGCATTTCCGCTGGATGTTGTATGGGAGTTGCACACATTTGCAAGACCAGCAGCAACAGCATAGCATGCTGCTCACGTGGATGGGCTTAAACGACCTCGGCAGCAACACGGAATTCAAGTTGCAGAGCAGTCGCCGCAAGGAAAATGGCAAAGAAAACATGTCTACAAGCATGAAGTGACACAATCTTGACCAGAGGCACGAAACGAAGGCAGCTCAGAGCATTGTCAGATACGCAATCAGCAGTCGGTACCCTCGACGAGTTCAGATTGGTGTGCAGAACATCGCTAATCCCACAGGCTCCGCCTGTAAACATCGTAAGATCCGTCAGTGATGGTGTAGGTCGATGGCTCGACCCTCGCATCGGCCGTATCCTGCGAAAGTGACAAAGCGACGATGAAGACAGAGACTAAACTCCCAAACAGTCGCCCCTTGCTGAAAACCAACCAGCCGGGTCGTTGACGGCTTCGTACTTCGCACCACTGTCAGCAAACTGGGATACTCGGCAAAGTAGCCATAACCGAAATAGATGATGCCATGCAAACAAAGCTTCACCATGATGCAACTCCACAATACAAGGACAAAACCGAGGAGGGTCAACGGCGGTATCCAGAGGGCAGGCAAAACCCCCAATCAGTGCCATTTGCACATTCTCGTTTTGCCATTGCAGAAAGCGTCGTGGTATGCTTGGACCATCGGAATGCCATTGGGGCACACATCGGGAGAGCGCCAGACGGGAACCAATGGATGCTGCAATCTTGGATGGCAAGTAAGATTGATCCTTCTCTGTATCCGGCGGCGGGCCCTTTGGCAGCTGGAAGCATGCCGGATTCACGAGCAAGGGCACAGTTTCGTGATCCAGCAACGCAAGCGCTCATCCCCCCCGTGCGACCAGCTGCGTGGTCTTATAAGCCGTGCGCTTCCACTCCAACCCAGGCGGGGGTGGCATGTACCCGTGGTCCAAGGCTTCTGTCAAGCCTGAGGGGACGCCGTATTGGGTTCCTCCTGTGCGCTGGTTGCGCCGGCACTGCTCCCGGGTGGTAGAGGGCAGAATGCCCTCTTCATCATGATGGCAAATCTTGGCGGTGTGTTGGCGCTGGCGTCACCTTCATCCCTACCATTTGCCACTCCACCATGTACCTGATCGGGATCACAATCACCGCTGCGCGTCCCACCTCCGTTGCATCCAACCGGAAGAGGTCGGCCAGCAACTCCTGAGACGAAACGGATGACAAACAGATTCGGGTTCTTTGCGTTTGCGGCTGCCCTGCTCTCCCGGCCCCTTCCTCCACCACGCACTGCCGCTTTGCTGCGTTCGTTTGGGGCACCTTTGGGCCGGCCCTTTGGCCGGCCTCTTAAATTGGCCTTGTGGCTTCAAGCTCGAAAATTTTTTAAGCAAAGCCAGGGCCCTCCGCCACACCGAACCAGACGTAGTGCTCGGTCATGCCGCACTGGCTGAAATCGTGATACTGTATAGGCAAGCCCACTACGGCCAACTAGCGCAGCGGCAGCCCCGCCGCATCGGCGAGGTCGAGCACACGGTCCAGTTCCGGGCCCAGCCACTGGCTCGCTGCACCGCGACAGCCAAAGCTGCCCACCAGCGTCTTGTCCAGGCGAAGGCGGCAGCGGCTCGCAAGTCTCGAACGAGCCGCTGCTCGAACGAGCCGCTGCGCTGCTTCGCTCCAGCACCCCCCAACTTCGGAGCCAAGCACGACGAGCTGCTGCGGAGCTCTGGGTAGGCGGCCCGTTTGCGCCGCTCCGCAACTCGCAACATGGCACCGTCATGCGCAGCGGTGCCAGGTTGCGGCTGGCCCGTTCGGGCAGTGGCGACACCAAGGTTGCGTCGCAGCACAGCGCTCCTCCCATGGGCGTCGCTCCATAGATCACCAGATCATGTCGTCCGGGGCGACGCCAGGAGCAGTCGAGCCACTGCTGCGGGACTACTTGGCCGTCCGCCCCGACGGCTTCGCCCGCCACCCTCAATCAGGCCCGTTCGACGACCTTTGCTCGTCTAGCTAGCAGCTAGCAGCCCAGTGCGAGGGCAGGCCAGGGCATGATCACCGTACACATCGACGAGCCCGCCACATCCGGGAGAGGGGCCGCAGTGACTTGCGTGAAGGGGCAGTGGGAGGCTGCACGGCTTGCGGCGGCAGTGTAGTGGCTGGGTCCACCGGTATGGCTGTTAACCATGCACCTGCGTGCGGGCCAGCTTGGGAACGCAAGAGCGCGCAACCGCTTGGTGGCAGGGCTGGGAGCAACGTGCGGTCACGGAAGTGACGGTTGCGAGTTCGCGACGCACTGTGCTGCCAGCCATGCGGCCAATCGCCCGTCACCGCTGGCGTGCGAACGCCATCAACCTTAGCTTGATTAGCTGTTCTTAGACAAAAGCTAGTTTTACTTATCTTATGGAAATGTTTTTGTGAACCGCTCACCACTTTTTCTAAACAGGGTGCTTGCCGAAAATGACAATATTTCCAGCAGCATGTGCTTCATTGTACACACTCCACAGATCCCTGCATATGTTTGCAGCAGCACTCGGTGCTTTCCTCCCTGCATGCAGCTCGCTTGTATAGCAGCACTCGGTGCTTTCGGCTTTGCATGTACCAGCACTCGGTGCTTTGATTGGCCACGCAGATTGGCAATGTATGTATGCCATGAGTATGATCCATTGCAGGAAACACGCAGGCGCTAGGCCCAAGGAGGGCCATCCGTAACCACTGCCCACGCTGCAGTAGCCAAGATCCACAGGGATCTTTTTGTGCCAGGGCTCACCATGCCCATGACCACGGAGGTGCAGCAGGCCATCACCCAGATAAAGAAGGATGTCCAGATCCCCATAAATACGAAATGGTTGCAGATCCGCAACCACTTGATGCAAGCAGGGCTCTTGTACCAGCTGCAGGTGGTTCCCAGCTCCATGCTGGTGCACCCAGCCAATCGCGGTGGCGCCATGCTTTCATGGCATGACTGCCACCACAAGGGCCACGCCATCCTTGCCACAGGCCCAGACTTCGCCAAGATCACCCAGTCGGTGTGCATCGAGTTGGCCACCGATGCAGACAAGCGCCAGGCCCAGATCAAGGCCAATGTGGAGCTCTGCGAGGCCAGCGGAGGCCAGCTAGCCAGACCCACAGGGCAGGAACGGTACCTGAGCCTGGGCAGCTCCCACTTGACCCAGTTTTGCAAGGCCGTCGAGAACAACGCCAAGACCAGCCACTCAGAGCTGTCCAAGCTTTGCCAAGGGGTGCTGAGCCTCGATGCCTGCACCCAGGGCCATGGGCCAGATTCCGGGTTTTCCCGGATGATTTCGCAGGGATGGAAAAGGGATTGCCTGGCCGCCGAGGTCGAGGTAATTTTCCCAGACCTCCCATTGCTCATCCAGCAAGCTTTGAGTTCCTCCCACATCACCCAAAGCTCCGGGAATGAGGTCGAAGCGATGTTCCACATCGCTTCCCACTTCGAGGCCACGAAATCCTTGCCCCAAGCGGTGCAGCTGGCCATGACCACACGACCACCATGTCTGCCATACATGAGCTCGGTGAGCAACTTTGTCCAGAACTATTCTGGGGGGCCAAGCTTTCCAATCGTGAAGATCTTGGCCCATGTGAGCCACTTGTTTTTGCATAAGTTTGTTGTTTTTGGTAAACATGTGTTTTCTAGATACGGTATATAGGTGCATGATGGGTTTAGGATTAACTTTTGCAGGTCGATCCTTCCAGACGTCCCTCAGCCTCGGCCAGGAGTTCACAGAGTGTGTAAGCCAGCTGGATTTCAAGGAGCCATCCTCCACGTTCCCGTGGCTTCGAGCGGCCAGCTTCGCCGCCAACTTGGCCTCTCCCCACTCCAAGGACAACATTGGGCGGTCCATCTCCAAGTCGGACGTGGAGAAGCTCCGCCATCCGAGCCAGCGCTCTGAGGTGCTCCAAGCGGAGAAGCAGCTGCAGGTGAACTTTGAGCTGCTGAAGGCCCAAGGTGACCATGAAACCAACTTGGGGCTGTCCTGCCAAGCGCGGGCCATGAGCAGGACCATTTTGTACCTGACGAAGAGGCAGGGCAAGGGCCATGAGAACCACCACTATGACAGTCTTGCAGAGATTGCCAAAGCCTTCGGCCTGGAGATGCAAAAGTTGCACGCGGGTTCCGCCAGCAGCTCCAGTGCAGCACCCAAAGAAGCTGAAGAAGCAGTTTTGCCAATGCAGCTGGAGGACTGCAGTCTGTGTTCAGTTTGGTAAGCTTTCATGAGGGACTGCAGGGGGTGCCATAGTGGGTTTCAAATACACATGCATTTAATGGCCGCAAGACACCATGGACGCGGCCAAGATCTGCCTCAAGCGAACAGCCATGCAAATCGGCCAGTACTACAAGCAGAAAGGCGAAGCCAAGCTGTGGAAGTTCGTCGAGCTGGACCATGAGAAGGCCCACTTCCACCACCAGCCTTTGTTCAGTTCCGGCGAGGAGCTAGAGGTTCTCACAGTGCCACACGAGGAGTTGAAGAACTTCAAGCTGGCCCCAGGCGATCCACCCCAGCTGGTCGCCACAGACGACATGGAGCCGTTGCTGCCACAGAACAGCCAGACCGTGGAGATGGAGCAGGCCAAAGCCAAGGCCAGCCTCCTGCTCTTCCAGACCTACAGCAAGTGCTCCAGCTGGAAACCACATGCATGGTTTTTGCACAGTCATCTATATGGTGCATGTAACGTTTTCATATATATATATATATATATATATATATATTATGTTAAGTTTTTTGCGACATGTGAAGGCACATGCCAGATGCATCGAGCTTGGTTTGGGCAACCAAGGGCGCTGGCCTGTTTGCCAACAGCCAGCACCAGAAGTTGACGCTGGTGCCATACGGCACCATGTCCACCCTGAAGGATCCGGCCAAGCAGACTGTCAGCAGGACCAGCTGTGTCGTGTCAGGCCCGAACGCCACCCAGTTCCAAGTGTCGGCGCCCAAGCTGGACCTCGAGAAAGTGCAGGGCTTGGCTGTGCCTTTCTTCCATGTCGGCCAGACCACGGAGTCAGACTTGGTGAACATGGAGGCCGCCACCATCAACGTGGAGAAGCACACCATCCCATGCTATCGCAACAAGCGCAAGCTCCAGGCTGGGGACCAGCTGCTGGTGCTCAAGCCAGAAGAGGACACGCCTGACAAGGCCAAGGAGACCAAGAAGGACAAGAAGGAGGCCAAGGCCGCGAAGAAGGAGGCCTAGGCCACGGAGAAGACGACAAAGCCAGCCAAGAAGCCACGAAAGTAGTAGCTGCCAGCGAGGCAGAACCAGAAGCGCGACCATGACAGTTGCCCTGAGCAGAAAAAATATAGAGCTTTCTTGCATATGCATTCATGCACTTGAACATCCGCTAGCAAGCGTGCATACTTTTCCAAGTATTGCCGCATGCCAAGCTTTGGCCCATGCCAACCATAGCTTGGAACTTCCAGTAGCTGCACCTCTAGCTGCACCACTCGCCATGTGTGACGTGTCCATGAAGAGCAGCGTCCAGCTGACGTACAAGCCAGCTGGCAGCATCGTCAACCTCCCAGAGGACATGCTCACCACCCACGACAATGTCCAGTACGTTCAGCTGCGGCCCAGCAAGCGAACAATCCTCCATCTGCTCGTTGGCCCACATGCCAGGAATGCCACCTTAAGCCATTCCAAGCTGTACCAGGACCTCAGAGCCAAGCGGAACTCTCTACATCCTGCCTCATTGGCGGCCGACATGGCCTCGTTGGCTCCCACTTGGCGGTCTTGGGCCGCTGGAAGCTGCAGCGCTGCCTCCGTGGAAGCGAAAGCATCATGCATGCTGGCGCTGCAATTGCGCTTAGAAAAGCACGCGACGGATATGGGTGAGCACTGAGTGCTGGGTTTGCATGGCTAAGTGCGGAAGCACTGAGTGCTGGGTTTGGGGAAGGGCAGCACTGAGTGCTGGATTTTATATATATATATATATATATATATATATATAGGACCTATACAAGCACTGAGTGCTAAGTTTCTTCGCATGTGGAAGCACTATACGCTGAAAGAAGCAAAAACTTCCGAGCTTTGTTTGCTGCCGCCTGCAGAACTCCTCCGCGGTCCGTGAGACAACTAGTCACTAGTCGCTGCCACCATTGCTGCTGCTTGGGGACCGACTGGCCTTCCTCTTCCTCGGTTGCTTCTGGACCTTCTGGACCCTGAGCTTATCCAAATCTGGTTCCAAGAAGTGGAAGACTGCTTCCAACTGGTGTACGTCCAGCTGGACCTGAATGTCACGTGTGGCGGCTTTCTTGCCGCCGCACAACATGGACACAGTGGTGTCGCCCACCGGGACCTGGACAACCGTCACCTCATAGGATTTTGGCTTCTGGGCCTTTTGCTTCTTGGGCGACTCTGGCTGGTCCTCCTGCTGGTTGAAGCCAAGTGGGTCTGCTGGGGTCGATGGAATCAAAGGCCCTTCGGAGATCAATGCTTAGAGTAAGGCTGCCGCGGATCTCGTGTTGAGGAATGCCCGCACGCCTGTGATGTATCGTGTACTGTTGCCCGACACGTTGCCGAGTCTGATGAATGTGCCACACAGCCCGATCCACCGCGTCCGCTGTGGAGCGGCCTACTAAGTAGGCAAATTGTGGAATGTCAGCAAGCTTATGTGTGATCGCATCCCTGACCCGGTACATGAGCATGCCAGCAAACGATTTACCAAGAGGGTGCAGCAAGGAGATTGGGCGAAGCTTAGTAAAGGCATCAAGTTTCTGGTCAGTTTTGGGCAACAGACACAAAAAGGAGATGGCCCATTCCGAGGGCCACTGCTTCCTGAACGATCCTTCCTTTAAGCCATGTTGCAAGAGCCTGACGGCGCAAGAGCTAACTGCATCTGCACACCATCGCCAAAGTGGGGCAGGTGCACAGTGAGCAGGCAAGGCTTTGTGTAACGGAAGTTCGGACAGGGCGGCCTGGAATTCCATTTCCTCGAGCAGAATGGCTGCGTCAGCCAAGAATCCTTCGAGGCAGATTCGGATGCAAACACTTCCGAGTAGTGAGCAATTATGTGTTCTGCCTCCTTTCGGGGGCCGAGCAATTTGCCATGCGCATCTCTCAGCTGCAATTTCCTCCTTCGGAGCTTCGGTGCAATTCGACGAATGATCTGATACAATGCTCCGGGGTTTCCTCGGGTGCTCGCATGTTCAGCATCGAGAAGCTGTTGCTGAAGCCTGGCTTGTTTGGCAGCCCTAACTCTTTGCTGGATGACACGCCGAATGGCCTGGTATCTTGAGATGTGATGCCATCGCGCCATCCATGATCTGGCCTGCGTGGCTCGAGTCCTATGGTGCCACATGTTGGCTAGGCAGCAGTCTTTGGCGTAGACCGTGCGCTGTCGCCGAATGGGCCGGAAGACATGGGACCATGATTGTGTGAGGGCAGTGTTGATTCCCTCCATGTCGGTGCATTGGTCAAGGGCCTGCACCACCAGTTGCTGAAAACTTTGCGCCTTGGCAGGATGCTGGTTCAGAGCCAGAGACGCGGAGTCTGGAGTGAGGCGCTGCCCCTGCACTTTGTGTCGAGGCAGACGAGGGCACGGCAATCGTGCCCGCAGCGGGTAATGCCACATGCCCTCGAGAGGGAGAAGCGGAAAATCACGTAGAAGCTGAACACAACGACTGCCGTCGTCCGCCTGAGAGCGTCGCATGATGAGGAAATCGATCTGTGAGCCCTGAATAATAGGCTTTTGGGAGGCATTGATGTACGTGCTGCATGCTAGACCCGACTTGCCAAAGCTATTGAGCACCTGCAGATCCTCATTTTTTATTCTATCCAAGAAAACGCTTGCATTCAATCATAGCATATAAAACAATCCAACATATATGAGTGAGCAGCAAATATAAGCTCAGAATATGTATAAAAGAAGCTCACGCAATCACTCGAACTGTTTTACTCCAAAGTGGGGAAAGGTCCAGTGTGCTGCTCGGCAAACGGCAGGGTTAGGCACACCACATCTTCAAGAAGAAGAACGGGGCCTTGCCCCGCTTAAAAGGGTGGGCTGGGTGGGAAAAAGAATTTCTCGCCTATCACCTCGAGAGGGAAAAAGGCTGCAGGAGAAATTCAATCACCACACAACCGATATGTTGGAAGAAACTTGCAAGCTAATTTTTCTCACAAGAAAAATTTTCAAAAGGAAAGAATAAAGTACCATCCCCTTGTCAAATATCGTAACGGGGAGTGGGCACTTATTCTATCCAAGAAAACGCTTGCATTCAATCATAGCATATAAAACAATCCAACATATATGAGTGAGCAGCAAATATAAAGCTCAGAATATGTATAAAAGAAGCTCACGCAATCACTCGAACTGTTTTACTCCAAAGTGGGTCTTTGCCTTTGGTGGGCTTACCTTTTCCTTTGGCCTCCAGAGACCCAAGGCTTTCAGGCGGTCTCGGTCCTTCTTTGACGGCCGTCGCACATGGCCATCGGCAGGCGGATCCCGTTTCCCCTTTCCTGGGGCCCCCATTTGGACCTGCGGCCGCGCTAAACGAAAAAACTGCGAAACGGACGGAGTACCTGCAGCAGCTTGTGTCTCACGAGCCGCACGCCTACGTGAAGCACCAAACTTCCCATGCGCACAACTGAGCCGGGGTAAGTCCTCTGTGACACCTTGTACACTTCCACCTGTTGCCTTCATTGCACATGTTATGAGAAGAATGCCACTTCCACTCAACCGCAGGAACACTGAGAGGGTGGTTTTTGCAAAATTTGCAACTTTCCTATGAAAATTCGGCTTGGTGTCAACCTGCTGAATCCAAAGGCCACATTCTTCGCACTTGATCTTGCCCTGATGTCCACTTGCTCTGCCACCAAGACCAGCATATTGGCCTCTGGCAACTGGGGGGGAAGATGGCCGCAGCCCCAGCCGCCGCAACTTTGCTCCAGTGCCAGCCTTGGCATGGGTTCCTCTGCTGCGAGTTGGGGGGTCCTTTTCATGCCTGCCCCTTTTTGCTTGGGTCTGGTCTCTGCCAGCACCTGGGAGGGAGGACGGCCTGAAACCCCACCTTCAATCGCAGCTTTGCTCTGGTGCCACCTTTGGCGTGGATTCCTCTACTGGGTCTCCTTGCTGCTCTTCCTCCCGTGGGCCGGTGGGTTTTGCCACCCTTGGCACGCCTTTTCTTTTGAAAAGGACACCTGCTGGTCGACGGGCTGGACGATTCAACTGATTTTTCCTCGCCAATCAATCTTTATGATAACCAAACAAGGTTTGCAGGCGCCTTCCAAGAAAGAGTGCTGACTCAGCCACACATCCATCCGCTTGAGGGCCGCTGCGCGGTCTTTCGCCTCTCTTGCGTCTGCTCTGGCACTAACAGGACGGTCAACTTCATCGTTGATGACTCTGCACCACTCTTGTTCCTGGAACTGGGCTGCGTTCAGGTGCGAGGGAACCCAATGCAGATCTAGCTGCTCAGTCGGGGCCGTACCAAAGATGTCGAGGTTTCGGCCCTTGGCGTGTTTGCCACGGCGGTTCTCACCACACTGCAGCAGTAAACGACGCACTACTTTTTGAAGTGCTGGGCCAGAATTGTGTACTAAGGGTCCTCGACGTTTTGGCCATGGAAGTCCAGTTTGGCGCTACTGCGGTATTCTTCGGTCTGCCCAACACTTGTGCGAGGAGTCCCCTGAACCACTTGCGTCTCTTGGGTGCCACTCCAACGCCCTCGTGCCCATACAGGGCCGAGGAAAGGATGGATCCTTTGTAGAGTCTGACCTTGATGCCAACCTTGCCGATCTTTAGCGGAGCGATTGTAGCTGGGCTGCCCAACGGGCCCCTTTGTGGTGCTTGGCTTTTGTGGTGGTGATCCTGCGTTCTGGCACCGGCCGCCGAATCAAGCCCAGATCTTTCCAACCCCCACCACCTGGGGCCATCCGGCCCAGCCTGGCCTGCGATGGCCTGACTGGAGCAAACAAAGACCGTCTTTTTTGTGGATACCTGCAAGCTCTGCGCTTCAAGGTCCTGCTTGAGCTCCTTGTAGCATGCAAAAGCTGCTGCTGCAGTTCTTTGCACATTTTGATCGACGGTATCCACCGAACAATCATCAATCCACAAATCGACATGGTCTGTGGTATTGCGCTGGTAGGCCTTGGCCACCGGCTCATGGAGAATGACCCGAGAAAGCGCCGGAGCGAGCGGGCATCCCGCTATGAGGCCTCTGCTGCCGCAGACTCAATGTACCTGGGGCTTCATAGCA